CTCTGACTTTTGAGTAAAGTATGGTTTTATTCCTCAATTTTGCCATTGATTTCTTCCTGCAAATTTGTTGCAAACCTCTGTAAACCTCTGTTTACATGCATTTCCAGAAAATTTGGCGCCACCCAGGAATAGACTATTCTACAATATACAGCACTAAGTTTTGTCAAACTCAGTTTTCTTTTTTTGCCAATTTCACTCTTCTGCCTGTGCAGTCAATCTCTGAGAACCTGGAATAAGGTCTTCACTGACAAATGGTGATAGTTGAGCTTGTCATGACACACCTACACTCCAGGGTTCTGTGTTTTTTTTTCTTATTTAACCTAGCAGAATATCATTCTGTTTCCTACAAAATGTTAAGCACAAGTGGTTGGCTTATATTTACTCCATAGAAGTGTGGGTTCATGAACAGGGGTTAGAAAATACATTTGGAATTGTGCAGTTGTTCATTGCCACCCCAAACACAACGAACTCCAAATTAGAGGTGATGAGCTAAAAAAGCTATACACATAGGCAGTGGGACTTTAAAAGTTAAAAATAAAACTTTCAAAATTAGACAGGTTTGGAATTTAAAAGTTTAAAGTTCTTGGAGCAGCATTTACATTAATGATTTTCATGTTCAACTGTAAATATCATTGTGTTCCTTTCTGTTGAATGGTATTGGCTAACTACCATGAACCATTTTATATCATAAAGCATAGCTGAAGTGTGAAAATTGAATAGAGATTGAGATCATAAAGTGAATTATTTATATTTGACTGTATGAAAGGCTAAATATCCCAGACTGCTCACTGAAACGCACTATGGAAAAAAATGGGTGTAACAGCGCCAGATGAAAAACACTCTTTGAAATCTGCTTCAGGAAACTGTAATCAGTTTTTCCACTTTTCTAGCCCTTGAAAGTTCAGGGAGTTCTGTTATTCCACAGTAGGCTTTAGCCATATAAATACTAGAATAAAGGTCACAAGCTTGCACTTGTGCCCGGATCATTAATAATTTCTGACACAGAAATGTAGAATTCACTTTTAGGGTTTTTGTTTTCTACAGCGCGTGTGGACAGTTATGGCTCAGTACCTGAGCCTTATGATGAAGATTAAGTACTGTAGATTAATGCAACTGAATTTTGTGTTGTGGGAATTTTATAAACAGATTTGGTCATTGCTTCATTCTACTTTGGCATTTTATAAACATTTCAAGAACTGAGGTTAACTTGGAAAGTTGATATAAACCGAGAGAATAAAGACATTAGGAATTGCTCCTCAATATAGTTATTAGTTGCTTCTTTCCTCTCATTGACCCACTTAGCTATATATGCACGCTGTACCATTCTGTCAAGTAAATATTTATACAAAGATTTGTCATATCTGTGTATACTGTTTATTTTTACAGTATATATATAGTGGTAAGAGACTGGAATGATCTTTTGATTGTATTAAGTCATTAATCATTTTAAATCAGTATAAAGATCTACTTTAACATGGATCCACATTTAGAATTACGTAAATCCACGCACACCTTTAACAGTTTTATTTCTGTCCTATTTATTTTGTTCTACCTTTGTGTGGTTTCACCTATCTGCACATCTACAGTCTACCTTTTTAGAAAGGTACTTAATATTTTTTTATTTTTAATAGCACAACTTTTGCCACAATTTTGAAACCATTTGTAACCATTTCTGTCTAGATTACTGGAAAACGAAGCAGTTGATTATTATTGCTTTGTCTCACAGTCGGATTTGAAATATCTAAATAAGCTACTATTTGTGAACCAAGTGTACCCCATTGGAAAACAGCAATGGCAGCAAGGTACAGTAGTAATAGCAAACATATGTGAGTACACAAACATTTGTACAAATCTATATTGTAGTCATTCTGCTGTTTGATAATAGTGATGGCAGTGGAAGAAATGTTACCATCAGTAGTGTTAACGCAGGTTCAGATATGCCAGTGTGAACAATGAGATAGCCTAAAATGCTAAAGTTGAACATAAACAATGTAGTGTGAGAATTTAAAAGAAAAGGGTATAATGTGTTTTCTGCATGAGTTGTCCTTTCTTGCTACTGGCTGATCAAAGAATTAAATTCAGTATGACTAGAAAGTAAGCAGATACAACACTTGACACTTGACATATCCTCCCAAGAAGAAAAAATACAAAGGTGATTATTAAAGTTGTTTATCAGAATAAACACATCAGTCATGGCTTATGTGGGAGAAATGCCAAAGATTATTTATTTTAGTGTTTAACATTACACAAGACCATGAGAAGGCAGTGAAGAATATTGCATGTTATTGACTAGTGCCTCAGGCATGAGTTGCAAAGCAGACACTGTGGAGATGTTGCCTGTCAGGCAGTCTATAGCAATGGTGTTTGTGATGTGGTGATGAAGTATTGCTGGAAGAGTTGCTAGTTCTTTATCGCTGTAATTGAATTGTCTGTGTTAAGTTTTTTAATGTTCTAAACATTGTGTTAAGTGTTCAAAGGCTGTCCTGTAAGGCAAGTTACCTTTATAGATCATCCCACCATGAAAGGGAAATCATACAGCACTTTATTTTTTTTCTTTCTGATTCCAGTAACATCTGTTAGAAATATTTTTTTTCCTCCCCAAGAAACATATCTTTTATGAGTTCCCACATGGCCTTCCCTGACTTCCTTATTACAAGATATTTGAACTGAATTAGTTTCTTTCTGATCTCACTGTCACACTGTCATATAACCCAGTGTCATATATCATGTACAGTGTGAAAGCTGAAATCAGTTCAGATTATGTCAAGATGCACTGGAAGCACTGAAAAAAGATGTGTTTTCCAGTATAATGAGATTGAAATGATATTGTAAGAGGGGAATCTGACTCATTTTTTGTTTGTTCATGCTGAACTAAACACCCTTTGGCTTCCAAATAGTGGTTCAGTTATTATTGGTATAGCTTAATCATAACCAGTAGCTTTCATTTAGTTAAAATGTAGGTATACAGTACTGTATTTAGGCTCTTCTCTTCAATATGATTCCTGATGTTTACACAGAAGATAAAAAAATAACTATTGTATTTTGCCATCTAGTCTACAATGGGCCTTTTCTTTGTAATATTCTGTATGGCTATCTGTGCACTGAGACTGTGAGGTCCCTGTAACTGGACAATGCCTGTCATAAAGCAGGTAGGGAGGTGTGAGATTCTACAGCAGTGGACACTGGAGAGCAATGTAATCTGTTTTCATTCTCCACCAATGACTTAATATAAATTGTGTTTTGTATTCCAGAATCACAGTATAAAAGGGAAAAAAATACACAGCTTTTGACATTTGAAAGTCATTCATTCAGTCAGACTATCCAATGAAGAAGCACTTACACATTCCTATCACATAGTCCTTATCACTAAGTCCTGGAAGACTGACTTACTGAATCACTTTTTCGATGATGACGGGATGACTTTAATGTGCTCAATAGAGTTAATTTTTGTTGATCAGGCCATGTGAGACTTTACAGATATTTTCTTCCATGAGTAAGGAAAGATGTGTCTCTTAAAACAAAGAGTTGCTAGAGCATCAAATGGGAGATCATTCTTGCTTAAGTTCATTACTTTTTTTTCTTTTAATAAAAAGCTTGTTCTTCAGTTACATTAGTTGGAATTTGCAAATGTAATGGGCTCCTGCACTGTTTTCATGGTAACCATCATCAACTAGCTTTTCAAGTCAAAAGAGAAAACAATACCCCCTAACAGAGTTTAATTTGAATAAAGATAATTAAGCTACTGAAAACACTTCCAAACCTTATTATTATAAAATTTGAAAATATCAGTAAAATACTAATTAGACATCATGGAATTTCACTCAAAGTTTCTAAACACTTTGTTTTATTTAGTCATGTGTTAACTTTTTAAAGGTCTTAATTTTCAAAAGTATTAACAGTTACATTATGTGTTATCTTTGAAGTAAAATTATCTATGTTACAGTCTAATGTTGTGTATTTGATCAATGACCACAAGGTAAAATAGGAATATAATAATCATATGAATACTGTGTGTCATATTGTTTTAGGACCCTGTTTGGGGCTACGCTGGAGAAAGATCTGAATTAGTCCCACTTCCATGTGAAGGGTTGAGGCTCGCCTCAGATTCTGTTAGAGTTTCTGCAGTATGAGTAATTCACTAGTATTGCAGCTTCCATATGAACATATTTACAAGCAAGAATATAGAGAATGTAGAGAATACACTGGGTTTAAGAAGATCATTGATCATAATGGGGAAATTTGTTTTTGTTTTAATATAGTTCTATTTCTAAAAAGTAATTACTTGGTAATAGTGTTTCATATAGTTATTTTTCCTAATCTACCTCGTGGTCAGAGCCTCTACATGCTGTTTTCTATTTTACCTAACAAGCTGTATAAACATGATCTGTATTAAATGGTTTAAAGCAGCACTTAAGCCTGTGTGTCTTATACAAATGCTAAATATATTAAAAGGGGAAATAATGTCATACATTTTTATATGTGTGAAATTATATATATAAAACCCTTTTTGAGTAATATAAATGTATCACAGATGTCTTTGAAAGGGCTCCTGTAAAATCCCTTTGTATGATGCTGAAATTTCCTGCAATTAGTGCAGCATGTTCACCTGAGAAACGTGTGATGTGCAAGTGGTTGGCATTGGAATCAAAGTTCTCAATTTCAACTAGCCTTAAGTGTTGCCATTTCTTCAAACGATGTCGTGCTTGTGGCATGTCTGCTTGTTAATTTTTGTTGGAATCTTAAGTGTTTTTAAGATTTATGTCTGGGGCTGTGATGTTAAAGTACCATTTTGGCACTGTAGAGCATTTTCCTTGCTTAACTGATAAATTAGACGACTCAACTTGGAGTCTCTTCTAGATTGCCTTATTCTTAAAAACATGGAGTTACATTTCTGTGTAGAACATGAAAAAAGCTTCCATGTTGTGGCTACATGGCGAAACAAAATTAAATCCTCCCTTAATGTTACTGGTGCAACTAAATTTTTGTTTTCTTCTTTCTAGCTGTCCCTTTCCCTCCCAGCCATCGGCTAACAGCGAAAGAGGTTTTTGACACTGATGGAAAGCCCCGAGTGGATGTTTTGAAGGCCCATCTGACAAAGGAGGGCCGGGTGGAAGAAAGTGTTGCCCTGAGGCTCATCACAGAAGGGGCAGCCATCCTCCGATCAGAAAAGAACCTACTGGACATTGAGGCTCCTGTCACAGGTACGCTTTTGACGTGCTGCAGAAACATTGAAATGTTGAAATGTTGAAAAGTTTAATAAATTAAACAACATTATTTCTTGTTAATTATTTTCTCCTTTTATAAGATTATCTCATGAAAATTATCACTCACATGCTATTCTAAGAATTCCTCAGTGAGCATTGGTCGTGGGAGAAATAATGTCCCTTAATGCAAAGCATATAAAAATGTTGTTGGAAGTGAGCGGACCCTGAAATACCATTGAGTCCACATTTGCACTGAATTGGATGCATAATGCATTCCAAAAATAAATGGTCTTTAGAAATTCAGTTGTAGCTTTAGTTTTTTACAGTTATTTTTAATAAGCATATTTTTATACAGTATACTGAAACCCATTAGAAATGCAATACAGTGATGACAAATAACATGTTTTATAAGTTGATACCTTAAATATAACATAGGAATTTCAAACAATCACATGTGTGGCTACAGAATATCAGCCAGAATGGTTATCTTGTATGTACTGTACCAACACAGGCATTGCTTTCTTACAAATCCATGTCTTAATTATCTCGAGAGACAGAAGAGAGTCTGAGATGTTGCTTGAATTCTCACCTGTTGAATATCTCTGGACATGTACAGCATAACCAGCATATAGGCAGTATCTGTTGATCATGTTCTTAGTATACCATGTATATCTGATTTCAGTGTTTCATTTCCAAAGTGTGTCAATACATACTGTACATAAACCTTTGCATATACTTATTCAGTATATACTGTATGTGTTTTTTGCACTACTGTATGGGCGAAACACAACTAATGAGAAGTAAAAACTGCCTCTTAAAGTACAAATGTTAGCGTAGCATTCATTAGAGAAATTTGTAAGTCTGACTTATCCTTGTAATTATCGTTTAGAGAAAATAAATGACCTCCCTAAGGTGCATATTAATACATTTTCAGTATTTTGCTTGTGACAAATAAATAAATGTCTGGTTGTAGTAGCAATAGCTCAAAATTATAAAGTAGTAAAATACATGTTTTAGCAATATACAAGTGTTCAGTGATCCATTAGTACATAAGAAAGGCACCAATGCAGTACCCACAGAAAGTCCTCACACCCTTTCCAATGTACGTTAACACATTATATGGCCTAAAAGCCTGAAATCAAGACAAGGTTGTGGAAAGGCGAAGAGTGAGAAATGGATACAATAAAATTTCAAAGGCCTTACATATCAAGTGGAGCATAGTCAAGATAATAATTGGAAGTGAAGGGTGTATGAGACCACCAAGACACTGCTTAGATCAGTCCATTAATGCCAGAAAGGGTGAGAAGACTTTCTATAGGCGCTATAAGTGCCTGCTGTTATCGCTTTTAAAACGCACTTTCACGTAGTCTGAACTCGTGTCCTCTAGTTTGTGTTTTACTGCTGGGTTGACTTTGTTGATGTCTTTGACATTTATCAGGTCCCCCCTTATTCTTCTCTGTTCAACACAAAAAAGATTAAGTTTCTTCCGTGTGTCAGTTTTGGGCCTTAAGCTCCAGAATATATGCAGTATGGTTGGTCTTTTCTGTTTGATTGCAGAGCAGCATCCAGGTGTTCTTCACTATCAAGTAGAGATTTTAGAAAATAAGTCAGCCTTACAAACTTCAGGATTCATTTAAATCCTTCTTCAGCACCTTTGAAATGACAGTGAGAAAACAGCAAATCAGAGTTAAAAAAAATAGCATAACAATTGTTAGAAAACAAGGTTCCCTAGCTATTTTTTAAAAAAAAAAGGATTAGCTGTTGAAAGTCTAATAAAGCTGGTGAGCATTTGTGGTTGTGATTTTTGACAAGCTTTTTTGGCAGCAATTTTCTTATCTTCCATTCATGTCTTATTAACATTCAGTGATTTATTTTGGATGAAATAAACCTTAGTTATACAAATTGATAAATTCCTTTTGTTATTAAATGATAAAAGGAAATCCAGACAGCTAAAAGGTCCACATGCAATAAATCCTTTGTGCTTCATATTTGAATGAATTTAAAATGTTTACTGTATGCCTTTTCATTTACAAAAGCAAGGTAACAGACCTGCTGCCACTTTGATTTTCCACATTCATTTTTTTTTAGTCATGGACATAACTTTGGAGCTTGGAAGCTTGTTTTTTTTCATCTTACACAACTAATGCTTTATTTTTCTTTGAGCATAATCATTCTAATGAATCACTAGTTCAGGTAATGGGTATTAAAGGCAGGTAGAAATGTGATTTTTTGCTTTTTAATTTCATGTTTCACAAGTGTAAAAAAGGGAAAAGCTTAGAAAGAACATTAATATGTTTAAGGATACTGAAAAATAAATGTCAAGGGGTGAATTAACATAATCAATTGAAATTTAACATCTCTTAATGCAGTTACTATATTTACATTCACAGCCGACGATACTTAATATGTCTTAGAGCGTAACAAATAGGTTGCTTGAAAACAGGCAACAACCTCAGACGTAGAAAAAAAAGAGCTTGAGTTAGAACACATAGCTAATACTTTTTGTTTCTGAAAAAGGTGGCCATATTTGTGCTCAAATCTCAGTTCTCTTAAGGCAAACTAGAGATGGGAGAATTGTTTATTTAGGTATATGGTTATGTGTTGCTTAGTTTGAATGTTTAATGTAAGACAGTGTGACACTGGCATAAGTAATTATTCTATACCTGTATATTAAATATTCAGAAACATATTGCTTTTGTTTATTTACTTTATATGAACCAATTATCCTGCAGAAAATCAAGCTATGTCTCTGGAATAAATCTGAATGACTTTTTGTTCCTGAGTTATCAGAAGTTGCCAAAAAGATCTCTTTTGTTTGGAAATCCTTCAAATCAATGAGGAAAGCACCTTTTCCCCTCTCAATATTATGGTTATAGTTCATTTGCAACATCAGAATATCAGTTGTTTTAAGAAAATGCATTGAAAATGAAAGAAAATTTCTCCACTCTCCATCATTCAGTAAACCAGGCTGTTCTTTTCTAACTATTAAGTATACAATATTTATACTAATAATCAACACTTCTCTGTTATTCCATTCCACGCCTCCCAAAGAAAATGTTGTTCTTTTATTATTTTGATGCATAGAGTATATGATATAGAGTAGCATATACTTCCATCTATCGTTTGTGTTTGAAAGCAATAAAGAACCATAATTGAACAAACACAGTTACAAAGTCTTTATAGGAACAGACTTTTCATTATTTCTGTGATTCATACCTTATTTGAATACCTTTGAAATAATGGTATTATTTCCAAATGAAACAAATACAATCTCACCTGTAGCATAATAATCTTGAATAAAAGTATTCATTTTACTTTGTATTACCTACAGTACACAGTACAGTATATAAATAGAAAGGAATGCTGACAGGTGTTGTAGATGTTTGTGTAGACTAATTGAACACACTGTATACAGTATGTGTACAGTATCTTGGTGGCTCAAGTTAGAAGGCGGTCACTTATATTAACAGCCCTTTTTTCCTTTGGTTCATCCATCTTTATACTAGTTCTGTTTCCCCATGCGCTTTATTTTTTCTTAATATCAAAATGCTTATTCTTAGAAGCATTGTTGTTGACAAGAGTTTAAAACTGCACAGATGTGTAAAAGCAAGACATGAACTAATCCTGTTAAGTAACCTACTTCTGTAAAGGTGCTGTTACCCCATCTCTGGCCTTATTTCCTGTAAGAGGTGTTAATTTTATATTGTATCTAGATTAGTGTATATTGTATATTGTATCTAGATTAGTGTCAAGTGGTCAGACATCTACAAGGTCCTGACAGTGTGTACCTTGTTCACACTGGCCTACTTAGAGCAGTGTAAACCAAACCAGTGGATCTTCCCAAGGCCATCCAAAAGCTCTGTTGTACCCAGAGGTGGCCCTGACCTGCTCAGAGCTGTGTAAATGTGTGGAAACCAGCCCTGCAGCAGCTCATGTAGCAGATGGATGTCAAAAGGCTACATGCCTCCTTGGTAGTGTCCCAACCCAGCTGAGAAACGGGAAAGAACACCCAAACGTGGGCCTGTCGATAAAAAGCTAAGAATCTTCACACCTTCTCTGAAGGATGCATTTAATCAAAATAGAATATGAAGACTTTAATATGATCTCCATGTGAATGTTAAAAATATGAAGTGCATACTGAGATGTAAACAAGCATTCATTAATAAATACAATGTACAAATTTTACACTGGGGAGTGAGGCAAAAATATTGACAGTGGTGTTTAGTAAAAATAGAGAAAAGCTGTGTATTGCTATTTTGCCAGTGTTACAGTGCCAGTTTCTAAAAGCACTCAGAAAAATGTGCTGTATGAACCGGTCAGAACTTCATAAAATCTTTCTGTATAATTTACTATATGGGTGTGTGTACTGTAGATTTTATTTAAAGTGATATTTCAGATAAAATGCAGATGTCTGTATTTATTCAAAAGTGTAAATATGAAATAGCTTTTTTCTACAGCTGTCTTTTGACAATCTTTTTACACCAGAGCTGATTTACAGTATATAATATCTCGTATTCTAGTTTAGAGGTCATATACATTGTAGCTCGGACCTTAGATAGCTTCATGTTCCGTCATTTGTAAATATATTATGACAAATGATAAAGACTTTGTTAACAGTTGGACCTAAGTCTCAGTTGTCAGTCCACACTGTGCAGAAGGGCCATGTTTCAATGGTAAAAAGCTTGATAAACTTGTCTTTTTTATTTTATTATTTTTTATTTTCAACCAAATACAGACAGATAAATTGTCTCAAGTATAAAAAAAATGAATCAAGCAGATCTAACAAACTGTAGATACTAGACACCATTTTGATTTCAATTTTAAGTGTTTACTCATTCCCAATAATAATCATCCAACAGTCAAACACAACAGGGCTTGTACCCATGGTCCGGAGAACTACTAATGTAATGCCCATCTATAAGAAGGGTGACAGAACTAGTCTAAGTAATTATAGAACAACAAGTGTAACTTCTCTTGCAAATACTGTATGGGTATGA